ATTTGGAATAGATTTTAATAGAAGTCGAATGGAAAAAGTTACTGTTCGAAACAGAAACCGAGGTTTTAAGTTGATTTAGAATGGATTCTAAGTCGACTAGAAAAAACGACTGCTCGAAGCAAAAAGTGAAGTTTTAAGTTGATGTCGCGGCTTCGAAGTAGTTTTATTTACATTAAGAGATGGAAATGCGTATTATCACTCAAATCGGACCCAAATCGATTGAAAAAGGCGAAGTTTCACAATCAGAAGCTGGGGATTTATGTTCATATATCCAGGTTTGATGGAGATTTTAGGACAGTAAGTGGTGGATAATTTGATTTCTGATAGATTTAAGTCGAAATCGACTATAAAAAGCTACTGTTCCTCCTCCTGCTACCAAGGTCCTCCTCGGAGCTATTGTTCGACCTAGAAATGGGATTTGATGTTGATATCTGGAGTTTTGATTTGATAAATTGATTTAAAATGGATTTTGGTTCAAACAGCTAGAAATAGCTACTTTTCGAAACAGAAAATGAGGTTTCAGATTAATATCTGCACTTATGATGTACTTTTCGGAACAATAAGTGGCTTATAATTTGATTTAAAATTAAGAAAAGCGACTGTTTTGGTTTGTGTGAACAAAATTACGAACTTTAATTTTTAAGCGCATTAAACATTAATTCCTTAATCGCATCATCCGAATAAAGAAACTTTTTAAAATTCCAATATTTTAAGCATAAGCCCTCGTGCCGGATAAAGTGAATTATTATTAGAATCGCTGAAACTTAGGAATTGTGATTGCTAGGAAACAAAGTTTAATGACATTAAAAGGATGTCGAACTTCGATTGTCTTTATTTTTAACTTACACAACGTTTCGGACAGTTGTATCACTACCCGTTATCAAGTGTAAACTAAAGCTTAATTCTAAGGCTACAAGGTTTATATACTAGGCGACGGCGCTCATCCATGACGGAGTCGGGTGTAGTCAAGCGTGAAGTTGTTCAACTAGTGACCCTACTAAGACGATTGAAGGAAAAATCTACTGATCTCTCCATAAATACAGATGCTATATTCCGGATAACATTAGAACCACGTTAACTCCACATCACACCAAACCACCACATCTTTACGGACTTCCAAACATCCATAAAGATAATTTACCACTCAGACCGATCACTAGTTCAAAAGATTCTGCAACCAGCAGCTTAAGTAGATTTCTCCTTCAAATCGTCCAGCCACTTGTAGGTAAAACTTCTTCGTTTGTAAAAAACTCCCGGCACTTCATAGATCTACTAAAAAACATGAAACTAGATCCTTCAGACAAATTTATTAGAGAGAACTTCGCTGCCACTTGATGGAGTGTTGGAGCTTCTGAGGTGCTGTCTGCATAATTCTTACTTTCAAGTCAAAGATAAGTTTTACGCACAAGATGATGGCCTGCCGATGGGTTCTTCTCTCTCTTCAGTGATAGCGAACATATACATGGAGTGGTTCGAAACTCATGCCATAAACACTGCAACTATTAAACCTAAGATCTGGCTTCGATATATTGACCATACCTTTATTATCTGGACACAGGACAGTATCTAAATTTTGAGTCTAACCATTCTGAAACAACCAAACTAGGAATAATTAAAACACTGTGCAAAAGAGTAAGCACAATATGTAGCAACCAAGCATTTCTTGATGCCGAATTGAATAATATTAAAAAGGATTTGCTTCAGAATGGTTACTCCGAAAAATCTATAAACAAAATAATAACAAACTGTAAGCGGGAAACAACACGGGAACCATGTGAGGTAGATACTCTTTCTCTCTTAACGATCCCATACGTGAAACGAATATCAGAAAAGATTAGGCGAATAGCTGAACAATATCAAGTCAAAACTGTAAGTGCACTCACAAAAACAAAACCTGAAACGTCGACTCAAGAGAAAGAGTGTATCTACCAGATACCCTGTGACTGCGGGGAGTCATATATTGGCGAAACCAAACGACCTCTAAAAATACGAATTGAAGAACATAATAAACATACAATGAAGGGTGAAACGCAAAAATCAGGTATCGCAGAACATGTGTGGACCAAACAACACGACATCCAATGGTCCAGAGCGCGGGTTGTTCACAGAGAGCAGCATTGGCGAAAGCGCAAATTTAAAGAAGCAGTTTTCATTAGAAACAATGAAAACATCTTCAGCAAACCAAGCGTGGATATATCAACAAATTGGCAACCTCTAATGAGGCGCACCAATGCTGGCGTTCTAGTTGAACAACTTCACGCTTGACTACACTCGACTCCGTAATGGATGAGCGCCGTCACGCTTGACTACACCCGACTCCGTCTTGGATGAGCGCCATCGCCTAGTATATAAACCTTGTAGCCTTAGAATTAAGCTTTAGTTTACACTTGATAACGGGTAGTGATACAACTGTCCGAAACGTTATGTAAGTTAAATTTGACTTTTGACATTTTTTACCAAAGATGGGATCGGTGGGTACTTTTGTTTGAAACACCTATTTTGACCGAACTAGTGTACTAATCTTAAGTATTATTATTAAGTTATAACCTATAAGATAACATAAAACAAAATATGAAATAAAGTAACAATTATAACTTAAATTTTTCAATACAATCACATTTACGGAAAATCGACATGTTTTATTCACTATTTGTTTTGCTAATTTTATATGTACCGCGTTTCGAATTAAACAATGTCGGCTCGGCTTTTCGATGCAATCGGTTCATTGCGTTTCAATAAATTTATAAATGTTATCAAAACATTTTTCGATATCCTGATGATTATAAGCAAAATTAATTCAACCAACACGAAGCTAATTAAGCATTATTTTGACACTCGTTTTTATGCGTGACTTCCGTCGCACTCGTCGATACAAGCATTCTCTGTCGGAATATATTTGTCCTTCAAGCTCAACGACTTTACAGTTATAAAATAAATAAATCGTTTTGGATTATCTACACAGTGGACCAGAGTTATTTCGAAATTATGAAAATTTATTTACGGATTATTCATTACAGCAAGTGTAATTTTTCTGGAATTACTTGAAGAGGTTATAATATGCAATGAGAGCACTGTTTTTGTTTCATTTGTAATATAAAAAAAATCGCTACGCACAAGGTGGTCTAATAATGGGATAAGGTTAAATATTTTTTTCTACTATCTTCTGCAAAATACCTAATTACCCACCGATCTAGCGTGCGGGAAGCGTCACTTTACTACGTTAGTTTTGTTTCCCACGGATCCGAGCCACTTCGGACATTCCCGGGATTTTACCGCACGGATTTGGGAGCGATCGGATGTTTTCGGAGATATTTCCCACGCTTTGAATTTTGACGTTTGTCAATTCTGACGGTCATGTCAGTAAATGTATTCGTGTTGTTTTGCGAAAATGTCGGTCGTAGAAAAAGTGTGGTATGCAACACGTTCGGTAAACTTTTTAAGTCACTCGTTTATTTGCCATGAGTTGAGTGCAACGGAGCGAGTGAGTCAAATGCCGTTTACCGCACTTGTTGCATAATATACTAATATTACCAATTATGTCTCATCTTATGACGGAATTATCATTTATCAATATTGTCATATTAACACAATAAGAACATTACTGAGCTAATTAGCAAATAATGTCGATCATCAAGTGACTTCGGCTGTTTTAAGGGTGTATCATAAATAAATATATAAAAGACACATCTTTCGAAGAAACTCCCGAAACTTGCAAATCTTCTGGATGCATCGTATTCTGGTTGTGTATAAATCGACCTTGCTGACATTTAGCCAATCATCTTGTTAGCTTTTTTAGAGCTTAACTGAATTTATGCATTCCACTCTGTACTTGCTTATATATTGTTTGAGGGGGGTGAAGCTAAAGGTGGAATATTGCCTCGAATGAGTAATCCTCATATTGGTGATGGACCTGAATCCTAAGACCATTTAAGATTGTTTGGTTGAATTTCGATGGATTCTCGAATTTTCGTTGGAATTGATAATATGCAAGTATTTTAGTTTGGTCGAATAAGATTTGGTATACGATTTCGTGATTGTGTTCAGCAACTGCTTATGAACTTATTTGTCGTAGTCTTAATGCCCCTCCTTATTATTTTATACTAGTTAATATTTTTCGTGCAGTTTCTCCAATGTTTTCTTTGCTGCATATGAATGGAATGCTGTAAACTCTGTCATTTCAAATGGAATTTTGTCTTTGGTTATGGTGATGTGACAAAAGATTCCATAAATATGTTGACTATGACTGGTGAGCAGGTTTGATAAGGACTTTAGTATGTACAAGAAAACCAGAAAATCGTTTGAATCTAATGTAATGGTTTTCAACTGTTCCCTGAAGTGAAAAGAAGTACGAAACTATCAGGGTTTTAATTTCAGAGCTAGATATTTTGCTAGAGGATAGGTTTTTAGAACTGATGTTGCTAACAATAGGTCTCGAATGGGCAATTCTGGGTTGCGAATCTTATTGAGTTCGTAGAAACGAGGAATTTAGGAGTCGTGAGGAATGACATACAAAATGAAACTAAAATTCTTGCGTGTAAACAATGCTTCTCAACGACCCAACAACCTTAACCGCCACTCAGGCCTTTACCTTTCACCAAACAGTATAGTAGGTAAGTTCTTCAAAGAAACTTTCACACGCTCCTGTAATACTTTTCACTAAACTTCTGTATTCCTGCTGGGTCAGTTTTTGTTGAGTCAAACTTACAACTGTTTCGCCAATCATCCTGTTGGTTTCTTCAGGGCTTCACTGAAACTTTGACTCAACAAAAACCGAAGCAGGAGGAATCCAGGAGCTTTGTCAAAAGTATTTTCAGTTAAGGTCTGAAGAAGCGAACATGATTATTGGTGAAAATCAAATTAGATTTATAAACAACAACATGAGGAATCCAGAAAATTTGTAAATTGTAAAAGACTTCTAGAACCCGTTTGATTTTATCTATAGTGAACTATAGGGTTCTACGCAAGGCGTACCCTCATATTTTCCTTTTTTTTATTTCCAGGTGTCCTGGATGCGTAAACGCGACCTGCACATTCTCACATCCGGAGTACACGCGTACACGGGCGACGGTAGATTTAATATCAGACACCCTGAGCATAGCGACGACTGGGATTTGAAGATTGATTACGTTCAAAAACGCGACGCGGGAGTTTACGAATGCCAAGTGAACACGGAACCCAAAATCAGTTTGCCGATTATGCTGAATGTTGACGGTGAGTTGTTCGTTTTCATCAAATATTTGATTAAAGATATTGAACTTCGCGTTTAAGACCTAAAAAAAAAAAATAAGTGGCCCGTTTATTATGGAACGATACCTCATCTCGAACCGTTTAAAAAATACCACTATAGACAAAACGTCCTTAAACTAAACTATATATTTAATACTTTGTATTTTGGAGCAAAAATATCTTTTTTTTTATTTTAAATAGAAGACCCTATCCAACGGGTTTTTTTACGATGTATAGAACTTTAAGTTGCAATAAAACAACGATGGATTATTCGATTGACATGAATTTTATTTATCCGAAAGATAATCTTGTGCCATTACATTTTAAATATGATTTCTGGCATATGACCGCCACGGCTGGCGCGGATGTAGTCCAATCTGGACGTCCAATTTTCGATGACTTTTTCCAAGATTTGTGGCCGTATATCGACAATAACACGGCGAATGTTGTCTTCCAAATGGTCAAGCGTTTGTGGCTTATCCGCAGAGACCAATGACTTTACATAGCTCCACAGAAAGTAGTCTAACGATGTTAGATCTTGGAGGCCAATTCACAAGTCCAAAACGTGAAATTAGGCGGTCACCAAACATGTCTTTCAATAAATCGATTGTGGCACGAGCTGTGTGACATGTTGCGCCGTGTTGTTGAAACCCCATCTCCTGGATATCATGATTATTCAATTAAGGAATGAAAGAGTTAATAATCATAGCTCTATACCAATCACCATTCACTGCAACGTTCTGGCCATCATCGTTTTTGAAGAAGTACGGACCAATGATTCCACCAGCCCATAAAGCGCACCAAACAGTCAATTTTTCAGGATGTAACGGTGTTTCGACATACACTTGAGGATTAGCTTCGCTCCAAATGCAGCAGTTTTGCAGAAGTGCATTTCATCGCTAAACAAAAATCGCTTATGAAAATCGGAAACAAAGGCAATCTCGTTTTGGGCCCATTCGACAAGCGTTCTTAAGGCGTGAGCCTATTCATGATGAATTGCCAAACCAAACTGAGAATAAATCAATTGACAGATGTTAAATCGGTCGCCACCTTCAACAGTAATGCCAACTTAAAGTTCTATTCATCGAAAAAACACCCATTATTAAGGTAGCTTTCAAATTTCTGAATAATATGCTTAACCTAAGTCTAACCCTTTCAAAGTGACGTTAGCCAGGCTAATATATCTAATATATCGATTTCTTCGACTGAAAACCCTCATTACTTTCGCAAAAAAGTTTTCGATTTTTTGTCTGTTTGCCGTTCTCTTATCTCTGATCTTAGTTCTCTGTCGACTTTTCATATAAAGATATCTTCCAAGTTAGTATGCTGAAATTTGACATCTTTTACGTAGCCACGAGACACATAAGTCTGTGATTAGACCTTGTCATCCATCTTTTTTTTAGCGACGTTTAAAGCTGTCGAGTTCAAGCTTGGCATAGGTATACAGTTTACTTCCCTAACGGAACCCGTTGAAACCGGGGGGGTTCGGGGGTCGGTCGGGAAGTATTTAAAAAATAATAAACATAGCATTTGCATTGGTCCGCCAAAAAGATCTCCCAGAAAACGAAAAAACTCATGAGTTTCGGAATAAAAAATCATTAGGAGTAATATTTTTTCAGAAAGTACATGGTGCGGCCGTAAAAGCAAAAAAATGGATTCTTTTTTTAAAGACTTTAATTTTAACTAGTTGCCAGTTCCTTTGACATAGACATCTAAAATTTTTTTATTTAACATTTCCACATATTGTACAGGGTGTTCGGCATATTTGGTGCAATAAAATAAAATATAGTGGGTGTTTTAAATGTGCTATCGACTTGAGATTTGGCGGTAGAAGTTCATTCCCACATTTAAACTTCAGAGGTTGGGCGCAATCGAAAGTCGTAAAGTAAAAAAAAAATAGTTTGGGTTATTTTTGCTTCTAGAAAAAAATATTTTGTTCGAAAAAAAATTAAGACACAATTTTTGTATTTACGGTTTTCGTCCAGCATATATGCTGTTCGAGATATTTGAAACAATCCAAATGAAAATCACTAATCCCTAGCCGTCATTCTAGACACAATGATGTCATTCACTACTACGACGTACTGCATTATTTCAGAAAATAAGTATTTTCTCGAAAACCATTTACTCTATTGGAAAAATTCATATACCAGGAAAAGTGGGAGATCCAGGGCTATAACCTCTCTGTCGAGAATTGATAAATTATATATATGGCCAAAAAATCTTAAAGGTCCAAAAAATATCCGTGTAAATTATTAGCGATAAATGAAAAACTGTTAAAGATGGCATAATTTTATTATTTATCGTAAACTGTCTCGAGAGAGGGTTTCAGTTTTCATCTATCATGCAGGGTACGCGAGATATTTTAATATCATTTTAAATCGCAATTACCGGTACAAATTTTAATATTTACCAGAGTTTGCTGTAACTTTTAATTTCGGCGATACTTGAAAGAGATTTTATACAGGGTGCATGCACAATTAACTTACATCGATTTTGCGAAAGTTCTATAGTGGTCCGATATAGAAAAACAATGCGTCCCTATAGGACAAGAAGCCCCGAAGCGGCTGGTATGCGGCTCGACTCGCACACCAACGATTTTTCGAAAGCAATTTTGTTATATATTAGTGGTTGGTTTTCTTATTTAGTTGCCTGGATTGACATTTTAGCCCTTATGGACAAGAGAAGCAAGCATAAAAACAAAAAAAAACTGACAGTTTTGAACATTTGATTCATTGATGAGTGTGAATGTACATTCACCGGTAAAACAAATATTTAAAAAAAAAACTTATAATTATTTGCTTTTTCCATCATTTCAAACCAATATGATACTCTTCTTTCTTCATCGCCTTGCCGGAGTTCTTGGTGCTTTGCGTGTTTATAGGAAAAATATTTGTGATTTTTTAATATGCCCAATACTGTGGTTTGATGTTTATTTACAGGTTGTCCAAAAATACTCGTACTAATCATTTTGTTTTCCTCCACATGCAGTTAAATGTTCAAATCTCTATTATCTCTTTTTTATGCTCTATTATAGACATTTTTTTTGTTCAAATCGAAAGTAGAGTTTTATCAGAAAAATAAACTGAAAACATTTCATACAATTTTCTAAAATTGTTTCCTGCATAACACCACTTAATTATGGTTCATTTTTATTTCATTTGAGTGACGCATATATAACAATTACAAGTAATTTTGCCATCAAATTTAATTAAATAACTGAAGATTGGCTTATTAACAGTTTTTCAAACTCGGCACATTAGTTAATCATACCGGCCCCTTCAAAAAGTTTTATTACATCTTTGCTATAAAATATACAGGGGAGTCAATATTTGGCATTCTAAAAATTTACATGGAATTCCCTACATTTCGTTCGGCACCAGATAAAAAAACTTTTGTCTCAAAGTTGTTTCGATATTTTTTACAACTCCTGAATGAAAAAGTGTCATCCCATAATAAACGGACCACCCGGTACAAGGTATTCCATTTTTTTTTCTGCGTTATCCGAAAACAATTGCCCTGAACAGCGAATTTGTCTTTAATCTGGGTCTTTGCCAGTTGGAAAAATAGCCCGAGAAAGCTTGCTGACGTACGAGACGGGCTCGTATAAGTCACGTACCTTTTTCCCCTTTGTAAGAAAGTTATTCAAACGATTTGACTTGACAAATAGAGGTCAGATATAGATAGTAACCTACTCGATTTGTCAAAGTTGGCCCCGAATAGCGTTATCAGACTTGTAGTCACTCTTTCGGGCGAACTTTTACCATATCTTTCTGGGAGGTTTGTCGCCTCTCGTTAAATGCGACGAACACATAAAAGTTTTCGAATGTTGGGAGTTTATCGCGCCGTATTCAATTAACTTTCGCGGTCCTCTATTATTACGGCTCATAATTGTGGGTTTTCTAAGCTCTGAGAATCACATAACAGATTTTTTAATCCTTGGCCATTTCCTCGTTTCAGGGTTGTACAAACAGTAAAATGGTTTCAACCTTCCGATAAAGTTCTGAGGCATCATAAGCAAATGAACTAGAAAAATAGAAAACAAAGTTTATTTTTTAAATAAAATAATATGGTGACAATTTAATACCGATATCGACCAAGAATTTTACTGATGTACGTGCAGCTAGATTCATAAAAAAAAATGATACTACTCGAAAATTCCACTTTAGATTTTGGGCAGTATACACATCAACGGGCTGCCATATCACATTTTGACAAAAAGAAGTTTGTTTTGACGTACAGTATGGGATCTAAAGGGCGGTTTACCCAAACATTTTGAGTAATAAAAATGATTGCTCATATTTTTAAGAGTTGAGTGCTTTTTTCTTTCTTTTTTTCAGTTTAGCTGTTTAATTGTTTAGCCAATGGCGTAAGGGCGCGTATTTCTACTGCATTTCCCTTACACTATCCACTTCATGACTTCCTGTAAGCAACATGAGACATCTTCTTTGGTAAATTTGTGAAGATATCTTGCAAACAATGTATATATATTATGTAGGTATTAGAGTATTCAGCATTTTTTCAATTTTATTACTTGTCCTTGGTTGATTTCCTAAGTTTCAATACAGACTCAACTTTTATTTATTTAAAAAATAAAAAGATAATTTAGAAGATGGTTGACCTTATCAGTGAGGGCCCAACATTTCAACATAAACAGGAACACTTGGAAGGAATTTAATATATTGTGCAATATACTGCGGCTCATGGTCATGAAAGGAGTTTTCTTCAAGCGACAATTCTTCCCTTACTTCCTGAAGATCTTAGCTGCTCGCTGTTTTGTTTTCGATTAAGTTGATGTCAGGACTGTTACTGCTAATGCAAATCTTTCTTTTTGTCTCCATCAGTAGATAGGCTACGTGCGTTCAACAGCAATTTCGGCCGTTTTTACATTTAAGGTTCATATTATCGAAAATTAAATAAGGGCTGAGGGGGCGGAGGATGGTTGTGGGAAGAGGGAAGCGGTGAGGGTTGAGAGAGACGGTGAC